TGATGAATTTACTGAGTGAGAAAATGTCTTCTCCCCTGTGTCCTACATGGGACGATACACAAGAGAATGTGGGTTACAACCAGCGGAGACCACACCTGAGTGGGGGGAGCCTCATATTTTATTGTGAGGGTTCATGAGGGGGCAGCTGTGATTTTTATCCTAAATACATTGCATTTTTGCAGACTTTTAAGTCAACCTATTAGGGATACATATGTAAGAGGAGGCTTCTGTGGGCCTTTGTGTGTGGTTTGTCTCACATGCAGGCAGCTTCCCTTCTGACCCTGGGAAGGAGGCAGAAGAGGGCAGGAGACCTGTGGCTGACTGTTTTTCTTGAGGAAAACCTTGACTTATAGCCTTCGTCTGGAGTCTGTGATTTTTATCTGCTTAGTGATGCAAACATCATGACGAATATTCCAGACTGTTGTTGGAAAGAGGCGATAAGAGCCTGTCAGACCCTCCCCTCCAGTGAGCTTAAGCTGTTTTGTGCAAGTCCTGAAGTCTGAAAAATAGAAATTATTAGAATGAGTTACGTTTGCATTGCATTGCTCAGAGGCTGTGCAGCTCTGAGACGTACTTAATGTTTTCTTCCTGATTTTGCTTTTCTTAGGACTGACTCAAGTACCCCAGGTACAAAAGACAGAAATTTCCTTTAGTGTCTCCGACGCCAAAAGTTTTGAGCCATATGTGAAGAACCTTGAGAAGTTCTTGAAGGACTACAGCGCTGATCAACAGACTGAAAACATGATATTTCAGGACTGTGGGGGTAAGTCACAATTGTTTGCTGCAACTGAGGGCTCTGACCCGTACCTGTGTGTCAGGTCCATCAGAAGCCGAGGGTGAGCAGTGGTGGTCTCTGCCTTTGGATGTTCCTTTTTTTGTAACCAACAGCATGTTGGCAAACCAGCAGGCTCTGGTTTCAGTCATATGGCTGCTCATTAAATGATGAGTTTGGACAGATCAGATTTGGCATGGGATGTACCTAGAAGCTTATTGTAGGGGTTAAATGGTTGGGAAGTCCCAGATTCACTTGGAGAAAGTTGTGGCTGACTCTAAAAACCATGTGGCACTGACCTTAACCTCTCTGAAAGCCACGGGGGTTTTACTGATGACTTTGCTAAAGCCAGTGTTGGTCCTTTTGATGCACTGCAGCAAAACATCTGGGAGGTCTTATCCTCTAATAGATCATATGTAATAACATGGAATGAGACAACTCATAATACATGCATGTAAAATCTGAGGGGGAGCCGCTTGTAAAAGCTGACAAAAAAAAGTGTGAGCCAGTGGATTACAAATGTGTTTGTTCTCTTGTAGTCTGGAAGGATCCTCAGTTAAAATAAAAAAAACAGCTCACATAGGGGATGGCTGGGTGCAGGTCTGTGGTGTCAGCCTTGAGAAGGTGGTGTCACTCACCTGGCTGGATGAGGGGGAAATCCTAACCACACAGTGAAGCTTTAGTGTTGCTGTTCCTGACAAGCAAAAGGTCATATTATATACGGCTGTTGTTTCATTCCCCCACCATGACAGACATACCTAGCGATTACAAAGAGAGAGGACCATATAATGATGCCCAGGGCCAGAAGAAGGTCTGCAAATTCAAACGTGAATGGCTGGAAAACTGTTCTGGAATAAATGATCCCACCTTTGGGTACAGGGATGGCAAACCATGCATCCTCGTCAAGCTCAACAGAATTATCGGCTTCAAACCTAAGGCAAGTGTCTCTTCCCTTTCTAGCAGAAGCTCCTCATAAGGAGGGGTAGTTGGCTGCAGATTTTCTGCACCTCCTTTTCTGTCTCTGGAGAGACATTAATATTAAAACCCTTCTGCAGAGGAGAAATTGTGAGATGATTTGAGTAACTGGCTTTAAAAAGACCTTTATTAAAGAGCTGCACGCTGCAGGCTGGTAACAAGTAGCAATGAACCTCACTGTGCAAAGTCCTCGTTATTTATCTGGTAACTTCTGAGCCTACTAATTGAATTGCTCTAAAGGGGTGTTTTCTTCAAGTGATAAAACCCATTTTAAGTTCCTGTGTGGTTCCTTGCGATTGTCCCAGACCGACTCTATCTATAGTAAGATCAGTGCATGGTGCCATCCATGCCCCCATCTACTGCATTCTTTCCTCAGGCAGTGTAGAATTGCCTGCCTTGCTAAAACCACTTAGTTAAGCTAATATTCACTATCAGGGTGGTACGTAGTCTATAAAGCATAAACTACATCCGAGAGTCAGGCTCAGCTCTAACTGCAGGAAAGGTGAGGAGATCTTTAGGTTTATTTAATGCAGTTTCCCAGACATTGTCGGATGCCTCTGTCACCTGCTTGCTCTCTTCTGCACCTGAAGGCATGTTTGCAGTAATGCTGAAGGATGTTAATCTGGATAGGAATGCCTTTTACTTCTTGTTTTTTCTCCATTTAAATGCTAAAAAATTCTCCAATAATTCAGTGGCAGAGCACTTTATTGAATAAGGTGATGTGCAAAACCTGCCACTCCATCTTCTGGATGGAAAACAGTGCAAATGCTGCACTAAGCCGTCATCACCACCATCCATCAGTGTAGTCGAGGACGGGGCATGGTGCTGTCTAGCTAATGTGTTTTGAGGAACATTTTTCTTTGAAGGGAGCCTGCCCTCTTATAAAAGAAGTGAGTTGAATTTTGGCTCATCTGATCCAGGGTGGAAACAGTGGGTGTGTTTGAATAGGAATGTGCTGTGCTTGATATGTGGTGGTTGTGGGATGACATAAGATGTGCATGTTTGATGAAGGGGGAAGAGAAGGGTTTGATGTGTTCCTCTTTTCTTTGCCACAGAGCTCTGAAGAGCTCCAGACTGCATTAGACAGCAGGGTCTAGTCAATAAATTACTTTACATGTTTCATTTAGAAACGATGAGTGTATCCAAGGCAATATTTGTTTCCCTCATTCCACGCTGCAGCAGAGACCCTATATCTCTTGTGTTGGGCAAGGTGTGTGTGAAGCAGATGTGAGACCTGCAAGGTTGTGAAGCAAAACAGCTGTTTAGAGAGTTAAGAGACCAACACTGGAGTTGGCACTCTCACCTTTCCCTGACATACTCAGAGCCTTTGTCCTTCCCCGTAGGTGGTGTCGAAGTTCAGCAAGGTCAGGGTGTGACTGCCACTCTCTGTTCTGGTGCATCTCCAGTCCCAGCTGCAGTCACCTGGCAGGCAGGCGGCAAATCCTCCAGCAGTGCATCTCTTCCTGCCCCTGCCTGGGCTTTGCACAAACACGCCCTGCTAGCTAGCAGTCTGCTGTGAAATGCTGCCCAGTGACACCATGAAATGGAAAATAGCCCGATCTGCTTGCTTTGGTATCCACAGCAGTAAAGGTGTAAGAACAGACAACAGCTCTGCTTGGGTTAAGTTCTACAGCTTCTAGTTGTGTTACGCTGTGTGCCTGTTGCAAGAACCACCAGCAAGAGCTGTTGCCTCTGAAACAGAGCTAGAACAGATTCACGTTAGTGGCACGTGTTTGGTACCACTGAGTTTTGCTGCTGCAAAGGTGCTGCGGTCTGCAGAGAAGTGTTCAGTGTGTAACATCCCCTTGTTTTGGGTTTCTTCTAGGCTCCGGTAAATGACAGCCTCCCTCCAGAGGTTATGGCAAAATACAACCCATTCCTCATCCCTGTCCACTGTGCTGCCAAGGTAAGTTGAAATACAGTAGAGCCGGGTTGGGAAGCTGAAGTGTAGTGACCCCTCTCTGCAGACAGCTGGGGTGGTTCTTACTTGGGACGTCTCCCCCTTCAGAACAGGAGTTTCTTAAAACCCTGTTGGTGACAGTTAGCGCTGCCCTCCCAGGGAAGTATAAAAGCAGGGCCAGATAGCAACAGGCAGCCTCAAAAGTTGCAATTTTGCTTCCAAGTGCTGTACTGGATCTCTTAGCACGGATGGCTGAAAAAAAGGACTTGGGGAAGAGGTATGTCCCTTAGCATTGTAAAGCAGCTGAGAAACAGGAAACTTTTTTTTTTTTTAGCCAAAGACAGTGCATGGTATGACAGGAAGCTGTGGTCACTTCTGAATGTGTAAAGAAGTGATTTTTTTTTTAAAGAAAAGCCCTTTTCCTGGCTGATGTGTGCTGGGAGGTACTTACTGTGTAGCTGCTGGTTAGGCAGCGCTTAAGTATCCATATTACTCTTGGAACTGTCCTTGTGCTGCCAAGATGAGGATCAGTGATGCCCAAAGAGAGGTCACAGTCTTGGTGAAAAGCAGATGCTGCAAGGGAAAGGGGCTGCAGGAGGTGGAGTTCAGGTGAGCATCATCGTTTGTTATTCCTTTTCCTGCTTCCCTAGAAAGAGGACGATGCAGACAAAATAGGCACGGTGGAGTACTATGGGATGGGTGGCTACCCTGGCTTTGCCCTGCAGTACTATCCCTACTACGGCAAGCTCCTGCAGTCGCGGTACCTGCAGCCGCTGGTGGCAGTGCAGTTCACCAACCTGACCTACGACATGGAGGTGCGCGTGGAATGCAGGGCCTACGGGCAGAACATCCAGTACAGCGACAAAGACCGCTTCCAGGGACGCTTTGATATTAAATTTGACATAAAAAGCAGCTGATTGTAAGCACAACTCTCTTCTCCCCCCTCCTCCTCCTAGCCATTTAAAAAGGTTAAAAAAAAAAAGAACAAAAAAGAAAACCTACTAGTCTTGAACAAACTGTCATACTTATGGGACCTACACGTAATCTATATGCTTTACACTAGCTTTCTGCATTTACTAGGTTAGAATGTAAACAAAGTGTAGCAATAGTGAAAAATATTTATTCTACTGTAAATGACAAAAGAAAACAAAATTGAGCCTTGGGACATGCCCATTTTTACTGTAAATTATGATTCCATAACTGACTTCTTGTAGTAAGCAGTGTTTCTGGCCCCTAAGTATTGCTGCCTTGTGTATTTTATTTAGTGTACAGTACTATAGGTGCATACTCTGGTCATTTTTCAAGCCATGTATTGTATCTGTTTTCTACTTCTTGTGAGCAAAGACTTTTTGCTGTCCAAGGTGTAAATACTCAATGGGACTAGAACTGGCATGATACTTCTCATTATTTTGTTCCTTTTCAAAGAAAGGCCCACCTGTGAGACTATATTTAACAGCACTCCATATGGCTTCTGACTTTTCTGTGGTGTTAGGGTATTTTATTTGGAGGGGTGGCAGGGGAAACTAACTTAAGTGAAGTTAAAGAGAATAGATGATTGTGTACTGTGCTTTGTTGCGAATGCTGTCTCTCTCTCCACTTTTTCCCTCATCCTCCAGTATGTTGTGTGAGAGACCTGGTCAGACTATCACTCTCCTTAGTGATAGGCGTAACTCTTTGCTTTGTATATTTTCTTTTCTTTTTTTTTTTTTTTTTTTTTTTTTTTCTCCTTGTTGATAGGGTTAACCTTTTTCTTTTTTTTTTTTTTTTTTTTTTTTTTTTTTTTTTTTTTTTTTTTTCTGCTGGAGGCATCGCACACTGTGGTGCTAATGTCTTTATTGAATGTTTTAACCATTTTCATGGTGGAAGAATTTTATATTTATGCAGTTGTACAATTTTATTTTTTCTGCAAGAAAGTGTAATGTATGAAATAAACCAAAGTCACATGTTTGAAAATAAATCTTTATTTTAAACTTTATAAAAGCAATGCAGTACCCCATAGAATGGTGTTAAATGTTGTCTAAAGTGCAAAACTCTATGTTCTAACATATAATAATAGCCAGGAGTACAGTGCTCTTGTTGATCTTGTATTTCAGTCAGGTTGAAACATTGGACAAATAAATGAATGAACACACTGTTCTGTGTGTGTGTCTTTTGCATTGGGTGAGGACAGAGGCTGTTAGTTGTCCAGGATCTTGAAGAAGTACTGCACCTATTGCAAACAGAAAATACATCTTTATCATTGCCAGAAGGGCTGAGCTGAAGAGAGTTGAAACATGCATTGGGATTGCCTTAAATCGCTGCTCCTACCTGTGAGGAAATGTGTTGTGCATCAGTTCTGGAACAGAGTGGTTTGGTGTTACTTCTTTTTTTTTTTTTTCAACCTCCTTGAGCTAAGCAATGGATGGATTAGAGGCCACCATGGCATGATCACACCATTCAGGAATATAAAAAGTCATCTTCACCTCTGGAGGTACAGGCTGTGCATTCTAGCAGTAACTACAGGTAAGAATGGTTTATCCTTAAGTGCAGGTTAAAGCACCTGCCAGGGGTATGTGCTGCATGTCTGGGGGCCGGGGAGGGTGCATGCTGAAGTCGTAAGCAGCAGAAATGGAGTTTCATGTCCATTACTTGGTCTGTGTTGCTGCTGGGCCAAAAGCTGAGGGCTGAGAACAGGCTATGCCTGATGGGGCTGCTCAGATGTTACAAAATGTGTCAGCTGGCTTCCTGCAGGGGTCAAAACCACTTTATGCTGCGTGACACAAATTACCAGGGAGGATTTCTCCATGTAGAGTGAGAAAACATGACTATCCTAGAGCAAGGTGCTAGATAAAGCCTTCCTAATTGGAATGTGCAACACTGGAAAAGCAAGTTGCTAAACTTTTTGCCATCTGCTAGAAGGAAAAGCATAGTGATGGTATGCCATGGTGCTTAATGTACACATGTAGATGTCTCACGCTATTCCCAAGGAGCTGGAGCTAGCAGAAATCTTACCTTCAACTGTTGCATTTGCTGCTGTATGGTTATAGGGAGGCAAGGATTTAACAAAGATGCTGTGATAGAAGCACTAAAATGCTCCTTGTAGGAAGCTCCACCTGCACAAGAGCTGCAGGAAAGCTGAGCCATTGGCTCCCAGCAATTGGTGGGTGTAGTACTGCCACCGAGGGGGTGGGGGGGGGGACCTGTTACAATTAAAAAAAAAAAAAAGGCAAAAAAAAAAAAACTCAAAAAGAAGAAAAAAACCCTGAACTGCTTAATTTATAAAAGACCCACCTCATCATTAGATAATTTATCTCCTTTTAATATACTATATGAGTGCAAAGTCCAAGCATGCACTGGCAATTAAGCTAATGGCTTATTCCAGGGGTTTGGCCAAACATTGTAGAAAGCCTATGGTGCCTTTGTTGGCTTCAGTGAGCAAGTGCCAAAAGGGGATCCTATTATAATAATTATTACTCTTAGTAACGGCATATCACATAAAGCAAAACCAAGCCTTTAATTCCTGGTCTGCTTCTCCCCCCCATCACTTTCTAGTACCAAAGCAGTGAAAGCCGGCTGGCCCACTCTGCTCACTAATTAACGAGGCAGTAACTGCAGGGGCTACCCCAGCTGCACACCCACCCTGCAGCCACCCTCTAGTCACAGGCCTCATGACACCTCTGCTACCAAAGGGCTGTACCCACCACGCTCCAGTAAAAACTCCCACAGCCCACGTGGCCAGACATGCCCCCTCCCCCCCCTTAGAAATGCTGCTGTAATTTGTCAGACATAGTAGAGGCTCAGTGGTAAAGGGCTGCAGGACATTAAAAAAAAAAAAAAAAAAAAAAGGCAACACTGCCCTCCCCCCCCACATACCCCCCCAACCCCCAGACACCAGAGCAGTGCAGCCTCTGGCCAGCCAGCTTGCTCAGTGGCACCCGTTCCTTTGGTACACAATGGAACTGACAGTAAAATTACCTTTCACAAAAGACAGCTAACACAGCCCTGCTCTGGTCAGTAAGTGGCTGGGCAAATGCCCTGGAGTCAGGGGGGAGCAGAGGAAGGGGAGGGGGTCAAGAAGCCACATCACATCAAACCAATTTAAAATTAGCATTGCTTCCAAGATTTTTTTTAATCTGTGCTGTATTGCCTATGTAAATCTATTCTCTCCAGGAAGGCATCGTTCCTTACTGCCTCATCAGCCATTGCATTGTAAACGGCCAGTTTGAACACAGTGTTCTTTCTGCCAGGTTGGCTCAACCTAGTTAAGTATAATTGTAGCCATTAAAGGGAATTTTATCTCCCTTCTTGTTGACACAGGACACCTGCATTTCAAGGTTAGAGAGAGACACAAAAATACTAATAAAATAAAAAGCAGAGAGAGACACAACTCCCTTTCAGGCTCTGTCTGCACGAACACTTGCACTGACACACACCAGCCACCAGTTTTACAGCTCCAAGGTGTTGGCATTTCTGGGCTTCTGTTCCCAGTTTGGCTGAGGGCAGCTGGCCAGCACAGGCTGGGCACGACCCTCGGCGTGTGCAGTGAGCTGTGCCAAGAGAAAAGAAAAAGGCCCAGCACAGTGGAGTCTGCTCCTTTGTGGGTAATAGCCATGGGTCCAGCCCCAGCCCAGGGTGCCCATACACCCGCAGGCCCCTTTCCCTGAGCTGGGGCAGGTTTAGCCGAGCTGCCTCAACTCCCGGCGCTTCCCAGGGCTGCGTGGCCCCGGGGGTGAGATAAGGAGCCGTCCCCGCAGCACACATGGACACAGGTGAACCCCATCCTCACCCAGCTCCTGCTCCCTTGCTATTAGCAACAAAAGGCATTGAGCTATTTTAGTCCTTAAAAGCCCCTGATTTTGTGCAACCACTTTTCCCAGGCCAGGCTGCACAACCTCAGCTTGCTTACAACCTATGGAAAACCTCTTCCTCCTCAATTAGCTTTTGTTGGATTGTTGAAAAGTCCACGCAGACTGTACTGGCAAGGCTTGGACATCAGAACAAGCACGATACCATTGTGTAACTTGCCAAACTAAGTGCCAGTATGTTCTCTTTATGTATAATTATCTCTATATGGGTCAGCTGCCACGCAGCTCCCAGCAAAACCAGTTAAGAGCTGGCATGTCTATCGTACACAGAAAGGATCCTTCTCTCCATGATCCTCACCCTTCGGAGCACAGCAGTGCTGAACAAGGAACACCAGAAATAAGGGTCATCCATTACCTAATCACACACCACATGTGGTGTTCTGCAGAAGAACAAAGACCGAGGATTTCAGCACTACCAAAAGGTTTGGGGTGCCCCCATCTTATGAGGCCCCAGCTGGAGACAGCTTGGTGAACACTGTTCTAAAAGCACCAGGTCCTTTTCCAAGGGGGATCCAGGACTTGGAGGTACTCAGACTGAGCATCCAGATGGGGGTTAGGTATTCCAGAACACCCTGTATCTTAGGAAATACAGTTACTCTCTTTCCCAGGGTCAGAGTATAGTATAAACCACAGAAAAGGGAGCCATGCCTGTACCAAACCTCTCAACAAGCCTCACATTTGATCTGGGGCAAGGTCAGCTTCTCTGAGCCAAGCACACCTCTGGTCTCTACAGGACCCAAAGGTGGCCGAGGACAAACCCACACTGATATAAAACTGATATGAAACCAATGAAACACATTTCACAGATGCCACCCAAATGCCCTTCAAATGATGCTGACATTCAGGTGTGCTCACTCCATCCCAGGGCTGAAACAGGATTAAATTTAACATCAGTACTCTCTTTACAGGTCCCAGGAACCATCTACTTGCTTTACAGTATGCAGCTATGCCTGCGCTAGCTCCTGTTCAGGGACAAATAACAATAATGCTCAGGAAGTAATAACAGGTGAATAACTGTGACCTTCTGCCTCTAACCCTATGAACTGCTTCGCCAAGGAGGAGCTGAGAGCTTTTTAATTTCCATGATGTTTTGCTTCAGTCACACATGCTCTCTGCAAAATTCTCGTTAATGAAGCTGGCCACTCCCTCTGGGCACTTCCACAAGTTACTGCTAAGTTTCAGAAGTTAATACAGCAGGCAATAACAAAATTGGGTTTAATTCCCTGTCTGAGTGCAAACAATTATCATCTGAACAATGTGTGCCCTAAGAGCATGGAGAGGCCAAGCAAAATTAATCTTCTCATAAGTCCTAAAAAAAAAGAAAAAAAAAAAAAAAAAAAAAAGAGGGAACCAAATGGAGTAAGGCAGCCAGTCCTCCAAGGGAGAGGAGCAAAATATCTTGGTAATAATATAGGGCCCAGCACAGTAACAAAGTGTCCTGAAGATTTCAAGTGTAAGAATTACAGACACACTGCCCAGAAAATAAAGCAAAAAGCAGTGCTGATGAGAGATGCCAGCTGAGCAGCTTTGGAGTCAGAGCTTTTGTCTAGAGAAGGACAGACCAAGGTACACCTTCAACAGTACCAGCACATCATACAGGCTGCACGACAGCTTGCCTCAAAGAAAACTCTGGCACTGAAAGGGTACCTCAGTGTTCACAGTCCATCCCCCTTGTTCCCTGGGCCTGGCAGTGTTTTATAAGAGACCCTGTTCACGGCAGAAGCAAGGGGTCTGATGAGGAGACATACTAGTAGGAAATATGGCAAGATCACAGATTCACTTCTCATCCATCACCAGAAAGATGATGGCAATTGCAGTCCTTCCTCACCTCTGCCGAACAAAAATTGGCAGCCAGGAGATAGAAGGCTTTTTCATTTATTTCATTTAGAGCCTGTCACTCATCACGGTGCATTTCATGCAGCTGGACAGACGCTCACCAGTACCCTCTCCCCCAAGACCACAACAAAACTGTTTCTCCTGGGTTCAGTGTAGGTATCCAGTCACATGATCCAGAGAGTCTTTGCTGACCTGAAGTTTCAGCACCACTATACTCTCCCTAACCATTCAGGTCTTACAATTTTTCACAGGTTATCTCAGTTTGAGGTCACCAGTAGGAATCATTGCCCCTTAATTTTGGTTTGCACATGAGCATGAACCTGCCAACTCTGTTACCAAGTGCACTTGTTAACACCTAAAATGCATTTCAGCCACAGTTCACTCAACTGACTCACACATCGAAATCATTAACACACTGAAAACCCATGGATTCATACCATCCTTCTAGACACAAGCAGTCCTGAAATAAAAATGGTTGTCAAAGGAGAAGGTCTCTTTACTCACTGTATTATTTGCTCTGAAAATAAAG